CTATTTTCGGTTGCTGCCCAGCGAGGGTAGCCTCATTGTGAGCATAACCTATAGGATTGTCATTGCGGAAATCGCGTCGGTCGACTCGCAATATACGTATTGCGGCAGGAACGTCGTAATTCACGCCTTACTCCAGGTGCTCGCTCTGTCCAAATGGCTTATCTCGACATTATCTTCATGTCTGTTCGGCAACATCCCTGCGTCGGAAAGTACGGCAGCAGAATGGAACGAGAAAAACAGGATTCCAACTCAAATACACTTCAACTTTATGCATGTCGGACTACTACGAGCGTTCAACACCCTCATGCGCCCCAATCCATTTATTCTGACCCTAGAGCCATCTGAGGGCACTCTTGTGATGTTTCAAGTTTACTCCGTCCACTCTAGCACATGTTCCCTATCTTTCCAAGTAGGAAGCCTCTATTCACCCGTTCTCGCTAACTATTGTAGGTATAACGATAAAGAAACAAGGAACACCGATAACGTGGAGACCAGATTGTGAAGACTCGTAACAAGCAACACCCAAAAAAGAGCACATCGCCTATTTGCAGGCAGAGCTCCGCTCATTTTAGACAAGTGAGCAGTTAAGCCTATCAGAGCGTAGAATAAGTAATTGCAGCGTTACCTCGAAGAGAAACAGAAGCAACTCGATGCTTCGAAATGGATAAAAAACTTGACGACCAAGAGACGCTGCAAAGTAGAGTAACTGGTAGCGAAATAAGGCATTAGCTTATTGTTTTGCGGCAGTTCGGCAAAAGTGGACGCAATACTGAAATATTATACTAGGTTGGCTGATTAGAAATGTAGTTTTTGGTCACCAATAAATTTCATTACGAAGACAACGTCAAAGCACATCAACCCTGAATACATTCTCCATTTTGATCGGTTATTTTTTGGCTTTTCCAGAAAGTGCTTAAAGGATGAAGGGTTTCTTCGAGGAAACTCTTGGGCACGACTTGAAGAAGTTGGATACCCAAATTCGCGCGTCTCCAGGATCCTGAACTTCTTCTCGGCTACGGAGTTCGTTTCTGAACGCAAAAATAGTAATGTGAAGGTGCTGAATCTGCTCTAATGGACGCTTGATCTTCCAACCCGGATTCTGGATTTTTGTTCTGTCATTCTCGCGACGGCACCGCGTTTTAGTGCAAGAATTTCGTATAGGTCGAAGTAGTTCCTTAACGACGCTGCCCTTGACTCACGTCAGCAAGCTGCTTCGCGTAGAGTAGTAACTGCCTAACCCGAAACCAGCACTTCAAAGTAACCCAGCTCGCTATTGTTCCATCACATGAAAGCACGGACCTCTTTCCGTGGACGTACTGTTGACTTCGGCTGTCCATCCTTCACTCACCACAGCGACCTTCTCAAATTGTTGTCAAGAAATAGCTTCGAAAATGCTGTTAACACGATCACAAAAGTCCCTTCTTTCCCAGAGTTGTTGTACTGAATTTGGCATTACAACCAGTATCGCTTGCTTGCTTTGATCGGGATGATGCCAGACCCATACCCTGCACCGGTTTTGGTGCACGCGTTCAATAGAGCAAACCTTTCCAGTCACGCGTAAAACATACGCAGGACCTTTTGAGTCCACTGTCAATGCGACCAAACATCGTGCGAGATTTTGTGTAGGTTGGAGAGCGCTCGCTTCGATGACTTCATCCATGCAGCGTTCACCCGAGCCTTCACCGCCTGATCCACACTATTGTCGGCTGCCAGATCGCTCCCGAGGTAGCGGAAGTTCTCCACTCTTTCGATGGTGTCACCATGGCTGTACACGATCGGCTCACCTTCTTCGAAGCTGAGGAACATGGTCTTCTTGATATTCAGCTGGATCCCACCTTCTGCCAGAACTTTCTGCCATTTCTGCGCCTTGGTTCTTCAGTGGCCCTCCATAAGCCTCTTCACCAGGACATCTAGTGTTAGTATGAAGAAGAACGGGCTCAAAGCTGGCCCTTGGTGCACCCCGACCGTGATGTCCACCTCCTTCGTTAGGCCGTATGGGGTGCGCATAGCTGCTTTAGCCCCGTCGTACATGTCCTTCACCAGAGAGATCAGGTGTTCTGGCACATTCCGTTCACTGAGTAATCTCCATAGCACTGCTCTCGCTAGCCGGTCAAACGCCTTTCCCAGATCGACGAAGACTAAATAGCAAGGCCTGCACTTTTCGCGATACTTCTCCATCACTTGCCTAGCGATGAAGATGGCATCCGTTGTAGACCTTTCGGGCGTGAACCCGTACACCTCCTCTGGACTTCGAAGCTTCCTCAGGATGGCGCCGTTGCTGCTCTTCACACTTCAACACCCTGATATCTTGAGATCCCGTTGCCAGACTTAAGCCAGTCTGAGTACGAACTTTTCTGCGTTTCGGCTCTCCAACTTCTCATACAAGGCGTCCATCTCCGTGTTCTTCGCCATGGCTACGGCGGCCTTAGCGAGCCTCTTGCAACTCTTGTACGTAGCGAGGTTCTCGGATCTCCTAGTCTTCTGCCAGCGCTTCTATGCTTCCTTCTTCTGCTTCACGACTCGCTGGACCTCCTCATTCCAGAACCACGCTGCCTTGTCTCCTCTGAATCCACCTCGCGTCTCCCAGTACCTCTTTGGCGCATAGCAGGATGATGTCAGCTGCAGTGCCCCAAGTCCGCTGGTCCCTCAAGATCTGGGAGACCAACTCCCATTATCCTTCGCACTTCCACCATCGGATTCTCCTCTCGGATCTTACCCTTTCAGGGCGTGCCAAGCTTTTTGAAAATGATCTTTGCATGATATATGGGCGCATGCGGAAACCACAGAACCATGGTTCATTTTTCCTGAACGATCTTCTGAACGCCAGAAAAGGGATCCCTAGTTCGATTCCTCGTGGTAACAAATTTTTGCATTTCGAGTTGACGTTCCAAAATTCGCGCAAAATGGAGTTAGCATAAATAATTAGTACCACATTCATAATTAGGACCGTCAGTAATCCCTACAAAAGACTGACTCAAAAACTGGTGCAAGAGGTGTGAACCAAACAGCCCCACAGTGGTGTCACACCTTTTTCACCAGTTTTTAATCAAATTCTATTTGTAAGGGTTACTGACGGTCCTAATAACGAACTGGGCACTGATTTTTCACGCTTACTCCGTTTTGCGCGAATTTTGGAACGTTAACTTGAAAAAATTGTGCAAAAATTGTCACCACGAGGAATCGGACTAGGGACACTTTTTCGGGTATTCAGAGGGCCGTTCAGGAGAAATAAACCATGGTTCTCGCATGTGCCCCTATATCATGCAAAAGAACGTTTTCAAAAATATTGGCACGCCCTCAAAGACCTTCCTTGTTAGGGAGCTCCATGGCAACTGTCGGGAGTGGCTGTGGTGGGAAAACACATCTTGGCTAGGGAGAACTCCTCCACAATACTGAGGGATGATCTTTTCACGAGCACATGCCCGATTTCCGTTTGTCGTCCTCCACTGCTGTAGCTGACCTTCTTAGTCTCCCTTTTCGCAAGGAACGTGCTGCAGATAGCCAGATCGTGGGCCGTAACCAGGTCCAGTACTATCCCTCTACCTCCGTGCACCCTTTGCAGCCCTCTTTCACAGCTTACGTGACCATTCAGATAACTTGCTATGTTGATGTAGTCACCTTCTGGAATCATTTTGATGGCATCGTCAAGGCTGAGATAGAACTCGTCCTTGTCACTTTTGAGGCATTCGGCTTGCGGTGCGTACACGGAGAGTATGGTCCATTATCCCTCCTTCGTGTCTATCCTCGCAGCCATGATCTGATCGCTGATCTTGTTCACTGCGGAAACATGGTGCTTGAACGTCCGCTACCGCTATGGCCACACCGCTCCGCTTCGTGTCTTCCCTATGGTAGTAGAGTTTGACACCTCCTGATTTCCTGGCCTTAGCACCTTTCCATCGCGTCTCCTGCAGGCATACGACTTTGATACTCCTGCGCGTCATCAGATCAGCAACCTCTCGGAACTTCCCAGTTAGTGATCTTTTGTTTCAAGTCCCTATTCCAACTAGCTTCTTTGGTCGAGGCCGTGCCCTCCTTGGCAGCCCTCGCATACTGATCACAGAACTAGGGCGGGGGTTCTGCGTGCCACTTTCGGGTGACGTCCTAGCATTAAAACTCATTCTTTTGCGACTTTTGAACATGGCTGGTGTGACGGGGGTCTCCATCAGCCGGCCTGTCATCCTGGGCCTTACGCTTATTAGAACCATTTTTGCAATTTTTTTCAAGGCATGGCTCACAGCAGGGATCGAACTTGCGGTTTTCGGAGGTGCAGACATGAGTCTAACCTCTTTACTCGGCTACTCCTGCTCTCAGGAACATCATTAGTTGAGCTCTTAAAGCATTCGACCTACTCGACACCACCTACCTACACAACTAGGTCGATCACTTTTTGCGAAGCCTTCGTTCATTTATCAACGCAGAAAGCAGCCCTTTCGAAGAGCAGCACTGCTTCCTGTTTGAAACCTTCCCAACAATATGATGGTGTTGCTGATTTGAAATCTCTCGGATACATTGCTCATTTACAACCGTTTTATGTTCTTAACGTAATTTTTGCCTACCCTGCATTATTACGCCTGCAACTGATACTGGCATGTGAGTTGTTACGTAATGAAGAAACGGGAGAAAGCGTCGGCAATTACAGAAATTTTCCCTTCCATAGTAGTAGCGAAGCGTAATAACACTGAGTTTTGGGCGGGGCCAATGGTGCTGGACGGGTCAATGTGCATCCTGAGGCGTTAGTGTTTCCACCTCTGGGAATTATCTCGAGTTTTGTGTCATTTCTTCTCCTTGCGTGCCACTGCATTTTTTCGGGGAAAGGCTTTCTCCGACCACAAAAGCCCGAACTTGGCGTTGGAAAGTGAACTTCCTTCACTATTCTCACTGGCTGATCTTGTTATCACTCACAACTGACTGACTTGACAGGTGAAAATGTAAAAGAAGGGCTCCGCTCAAAAAATGCTGTCAAATTTTGAAACAGATTCAAAATACGCTCGGAAACGTATCTAACGATGTAGCGTGTTTAAAAACGGCCGCCTAGACCTGAGTTGTTCTCTGATGAATGTACCAACCGCATCTGTGATGGGGGATTCAGCGATAGTTTCCTCGTAGTCAGAATCATCGGTGTACGCTGAAATTCGTGACGTGCTCGTATTCGAATGACTTGCTATAAAAACTATCTCTTCTACTACCTTCTTCATACTCATTGTCAACTACATTTCTGCGCTTTTCTTCTTCTTTTTCACATTCTTCCAAAAGAGGTTGCAGTGCTCCGGCTTGCATCAAGTCTTTGTAGCTTCCCTCATGCTCTATCTTCCCATCTGAAAGTATGAAATATGAAGCCATTTGAAACTTTCCATTAAAAAGTATCCTACTATAAAGCACTTCGTCTGTCGTCTGTCTGTCGTCTGTATGTCTGTCACAAAATTCCCTAGCTCCTTAGGATCCGCCTGGAGGGACCGGGTCAAGTGTGGAATGGGTGGGCAAGGTCTCACGAAATACAAAACACACATCAGCTAAGCGGAGCTCCGCCCGCGGAGGGCGTGGCGTGAGTAGAAATGAACTGTATCGAGGACCATGATTTCGACGACAAAACAACCTTGAAACTAAGCCAAAAAGTTGGTAAAGGTGTGCATTGGTAAGTCACATCGAATTAGGGAGACCCACCCCCGGTGGGCGGGACGTTCTCTAAAAAAGCAGTGTAAGTGTATGAAAAATTTCATAACTCGGTTGGGAGAAAGCTTACTGAGCCGAAAACAATTTGGTGTAAGGGAGCAACGTCTAAGGTGTTTTCTGCATACATTACGTGAGCGGAGGCCCGCCCAGAATGGGCGGGCCGCGCTCTGAAGTGTACAGCATTTTCTACAAGTCCTCATAATTCGGGTCAGTGAAGTGTTAAAGAGCCGGAAAAAAGTGGATGGAGGTGGGTGGAGAGTGGAGGCCAGCTGCCAATGGTGGGCGGTACTTGACCAAAGTGGGCGGAGCTTGCGACGAAAATTCATAACTCGGCTACAAGACGTCGCAAAGGCCGGGAAAAAGGGAGTAGAGATCGACGAAGGAAAGGAGGTCAACTGCTATTAATTGGCGTAGCACGCACTAAAGTGGGCGGAGTCTGCCAAAAGTGTCGCTATTCGGTTCCAAGAAGTCCTGGAGATAGGGGAAAGCGAGGTTTGAGTTTGGCGAAAGGAAGGGGTCAATGCTATCGGTGGGCGGGGCACGCACCGAAGTAGGCGGAGTTTGCCGCGTGATTTATTGTCAGGAAGCAGTCCGGAGACCGGGAAAAAGAGGATAATGGTTGATGAAGAAAACGAGGTTGAAAGCCGTCGATGGTGGAGCGGATAGAATTTGGCTGAGAAGTCAGATATTCGTGATGTATCAGGCCAAATTTAAAAATTTTCGTCGCACCATCAAAATTCGCCGCAGATCTGTGTTGTGCGCGCAATGCTTGCGGCGCCAACTGGTGTACAATACGACTTAAAAACTAAGCATACATATTGCGAAGTGGTTCCCTACATCATATTTGACTATTCCATCGTGATCAACTATATGGGCGTCCGAAACGCTTCCGCTGTTAAGCGGTCACTACAGCACCAGAATGAATTCGTTATTGTCCAACAACAACCGAAGCAATTGGGGTGATATGCAATAACAGTTGAGCTTCGAGTACTCAAAGGAAGCCATTACGATAAAGAGGGAGCGCATCGCGGAAGCATGTGCGGCACACGAAGCAGTCATTTGGCTGCAGGGTGAAAAGATGGGCGGATCTCTACGACTCCCTTCCTTCCTTGACGAATGTTCCGATACGACTCCCTTTCACCCTCCGCACATCCGGTTTTATTGCAGAAAAATGTAAGTTTCAAGTTCTCGAAGAAGAAGAAGCAGCTCCTTTCTCGGGGAGAATCTCTTCTTTTCAGCTCAAGAGCTTAACGAACTGAACCAGAAGTTTCCTCATGAAAGGTAATTTTTCTTACCTTGTAAAAGGCAGTTTCAACGATTATTGTGGTGTGTGTCTTTGTCAACTGTATGCTGTACTGAAGAAGAAAAACATTTTTGAAAAAAAAATGACAAATGCGCAAAGACTTTTCCAACAAACTAATAGTGTGTTTCACAAACTAGGCACAAACAGACTGCCATCCACCTGCCGCTGCTGCTATCGTACCAACTGAAAGAAGGGTTCTCCGGTCATTCAGACCTGCTCGGAAAGGACTTTTTCGAGTTTTTCGCCTCAAAAGCTCAAAGGTTTCAAACAAATCACAAGACACGTGCTGAAGAGCAACTAGTTGACGATCATGGTGAAGCATATTAATAAATCATCCATAAATTGTGACAGTGCCAGAAAAGAACGAGTTCGACAAAAATTGAAAAGTGTCTAAAGACTTTGCCGGCAACCTCATGGATAATAGTGAGTGCGCCTCAGAGTTCCTCTTGATTTCTTCGTTGTTCAGTAGTTGTGGTGGCTAAGACCGACGTCACACTCGGTGACGGACAAACGACTTGTCGGTCTAAGATTTTTCTTCAAAATAACATCACCTCCCGTGATCCAATGCAGATAAGTTTCCGAAAAGCTCCAAAGAAACGAGCTCGTCATGTGGAGGCAGTTTCATTCGATCAAAAATTTGAATTCTCGTGAAGAAAATTGGAAATGGTCTGCGTCATGGAGTGGCTACTTCCAAACCAAACCTCTAACTAGCGCTTTACTCACAGTCAGAAACCGTAACGACTGTAACGCGCGTACAACCATCACAGCCACACTCGGACGAGAAAGAAACACGAACAGGAAAACACCGCGCAATGAAGATCACTATTCCTAACACCTACCTTTCATTACAAAGATCACGTCCGAATGGTTGAGGACTGCTAATTCATTTGTAACTAAAATCCTAGTCTTGTTCCTCAACATTCCTTCTGGTCCAATCACAGACGAGAAAATCTGAAGACACTGATATCAATGGCGCAATTACAGATCTGCCATGTGCTAAATCAAACCTGTGCTCCAACGTGCGAATCCACAGCACTCATGGGATCATCGAGAAGATAAACGTCGTAATTTTGGTAAACTGCTCTGGCCAAAGAAATACGAGCCTTCTGCCCTCCCGAGAGATTAATGCCCTTTCATATGGCAGTCAGCATACTTGATATGACGTTTACAAATGAGTGATAATTACCTTTTCCCCAATTTCCGTCATATCGCCGTGGGGAAGCATTTGAAGATCAGGGTATAGCGCACAAGCATCCAATACACGGTTATAGAAATACTCGTCATAACTGAAATCCAGAGATTTGAAAGGATTTGCAATGGATTTCCCAAATTCATCAGAAATTTGCCTTTTTCCAAAAATGATATTCTGTCTGATAGTTTGATTTTGCATCCAAGGTTGTTGAGGAACATAAGCGACACGTCCACTCACACCAACATATCCTCGAAGCTTATCCATTTCTCCTAAAATACTTCAGTGGACATGGAATTCCTGTCCCAAAAATTACTGAGAGCACTGCTGAAATTGTGTAGTGAACTCCTGAGACATTTCCCTAAAAAAAGTGTGAACGGTAGAAAACCGAACGGCATAGTAGAATTAACACTCCAACAACAGCCGCAGGTAATGCTGCAAGCAAATGAGATTACTATTTTTTTGAGCGCAGTCACCGTGCTCCGCTCTTCATGGCGATATGAATTCAACGTTTCATCCGGAAGTATATCGACAGATGGTGTCTGTAGGTGCTCGTTTCTTTTTCCAAGTCGGATTGATTGCAACAAGCTCTGACAAATTATATTGCTTCCAATAACTTTGAGACTGGATCCAAAAATGTTGAATATTGGCACAGAAATTTTCCACGAGTACGATTGGATCACGATGCTGAAACGGCTGTTCACATCAATCGCGCAAAAGGTCAACAAGTTGTGTCACATTTCGATGGCTTGCCAAATTCCGGGATGACAACACCGACTTCATCAAGTTGCAGCCCGAGTGCATCGCCGGGTATGCTCGACAAAACTATCACCTCCGACATTTGTGCATCGCCGGGAATGCTCATCTGCATTTTGCTCCCCAATGAACCGTTTTCAGATCTTCTTCACTATTTGACTACTGCTATTCTTGCGAATCCGTAGAACACGTGGCATTTCGGCATCTTCAAGTTCAAGCAATTTCGATGCTTCGAAAGGGCAAAAGCAATGCCTAGAACTTCGAAAGTCGAAATAGTCAGGTTTCAATACGCCTACCTAATGGAATGTTATCATCGACCACGGAAATGCATGCAAATTCCGCTTCAAGCTTTGAACTTTGAACTCACCCCACTTTCCCTGTAACAACCAAAATGGCGTTGAAATATAAACTGCACCCAAGAAGGCATGCAAAAATACGTACGAAACAAAGGTAAAGCATTACTGAACTCTAAAACACGTACAAGCAAAATGAAAAAAGATTTATAATTCTGAAAGCTCGCGCGTACTCCCAATAGATGTAAGGGTTCCGAAATGGAAACCCACAAAATGTCCCACATATGAGATTTGTGCATTGCCGAATATGAACGCACACAATACGACCAATGGCTCATGTGTGACATGCGCCAAAATCGGCGCTGGCGTCAATGTGTTAACATTTGCATTTTGCGACATTAAACATTTGCCTCGAGAATTGACAGCACTCTTTCGTTCTAAAGATGTAGACTTTGACTTTCTTCGACTTCGGTGCGGAAAATGGTAACGTTGTGCTGATTCCAGAGTGCGCACTTGGATTAATGTTAATATTTAGTTCACGATTACTCCCCAATATATCCTGCATTATTGTCTTGAAACTTGTCGGAAGACCTAATAGCACTGTGCAATTAATAATCGCGATACGGTCAACAAAGCTCATTGCCTTCAACACCCTCAAGTGAGTGTCGGAGCATGCTTTTCTGATCATGATTAAGGTCACTGGCAAGAAAGTCTAACTTAGTCTACGGTTAGGGCCGCAGATTGGAAGCGTTGAATTAGGGAGATTGAATACGTTTACGCTCTCTCGTTTGCACATTATTACTTTTGATAAGCAATCAGTTTGTCACGATCTTGATCGATACTCGAGCGTGAGGGAGTTCGGTGATTCCACAACCCCATCTTCTTAACACATTGACGACATTGAGACGCGGTAACACGTCTCAAGTTGTGCACCTCGTTGTACATTGAGACACGGTTACGCGTCTCACCCTTGTCATCCCATTTTCTAGCGTATGTAGGATTCTCCCATTTTGCTTGTCTCTATTCTATGGATTACTACATAACATAACTGTGAACGACATGGATCACGGTATAATCAACTATGCTCCACTTTAACAGAAGTTTTTTTTGCGCAGCAAAAATGGCAGCTCGGTTCCTTACCGTTTCCTTCCTATTCTCATGAACATGTCGGTGAGAAAAGGTAGTGAAAGTAATTACGAGCTTTAAGGGATAGAAAAAATATGTTTCACTTGGCACATCCACATCGAAAATAGTTTTGGCATCCACTACATAGAAAAGGAATGAAGCTTTTCTTTTCATTACCATTAAACGTTCTTTTGGGGATTTTCCCACTACATACTCGATTATCTTCCATGCATTGAATATTGTTGGGATGGTTTTGTACCAGCGATGCTTTCCAAAGTTATCATTCAATATTTACCATTGCCAGGTGCTGCGGCCGCGCTCGCAAGATCGTCCTCGTCCCACGTGGCCAAAAAAGCCAAAACGCGCGCTGCCGTCAATGTTCTAAAGTTCTGACTTAGATAGGAGAAATGAAAAATCAATTTCCCATTATATCTCACAAAAACACATGGTAAATTAACCTGCTGAACCTGTACTTTTGATCACCATGTTTTGCGGAAAGCTTTTTGGAAGAACCATTGGTTTGTTTCGAACATATCGAAGAAAAATGGGGTGAATACACTTTCTTATGATCCTTATATTAATACACGTGTACTGTATTATGCCTTAATTTAAACGCAAAGCTAAAACTTCGCCAAAATCATTCCACCAACTGCACCAATTGTTGGCACCGAATCATTCTCTCTGAAAAATGAAGAAAGCCATCACTCACCTAGTAGTGCTTGTAGTAGGGAGCTTTTCCCGTGTCCTACTCTACCTACCACCGCAATCAGTTGGCCCTTTCGAGCACTAAAGTTAATGTTCTCCAGTGTTGCTGTAGGCTCGCACTGATCCCATGCGAATGTGCCCTCAGAAATCTTCGCGACTTGGTTGTCTGCAATGAGCTCGTCACCACTGCTATCGGCCAAGAGATAAAATGTGCTCATGGAGTTACTTACTATCTTTAGCCATAGTGTCGACAGAATGCGGAGAAAGCTCCGGCGAGATAAGGAAGTTGGTAAGACGAGAATTAGAAACGGCAACCTTCAAAGGAAGCTATCACGATAGAGACGGAGTGTATCGGGAAAAAATATGCATAACACGAAGCAGTAGCTCGGCTACCAAAGAAGCGAAAAGTAGCGCTTCGTGACGGAATGTGGCTGGTTGCTGCGCAGAACTTAAAAATCGCTACGCCCCTTAAGCGCTCCACCCATTAGTTTAGTTGGTGATTTGGGAGAGCTGTGTTGCTAGCACTGACACTACAGCAGCAACTCGACTGGAGTATAGCTTGGCATACCACCAATCGCGCCGCGGTAAACTCGTTCATACGTCTGATGTCTTGGCCATTGCCCGTCCATGGCGAAAATCAACGGCTAAACAATGGGATGTCGTTTTGTATACTCTTGCAGAAACTCTCTCTTTTTTGCCACTGCCGTACCAACGAGCATGCCCATTTCCCCTCTAAACCTCTCCAGAACCTGTCGTAATCGCTGCCCTTGCATATGAAAAGCGCATATGAGAACCTGCAGGACGGGCTACTCCCCCGCCCTCGAGTGTGCCACGCATTCAGATAGAATGGAGTACCAAAAAATGCACAATACCACCCCTAATTTTTGCTAAATTGACAAATTTGAGCGAATAAATTAGCAGCAATTCGTCTTTTTGCCATAGCTTCTGGAAAAACGGTCCAAGTGATTTGAATGTAGGACCATTGGATAGCTCTTGTGAAGGCGAATCCAGTGATCTTGTGAACTTTTGATTGCCTCTAAAGTTTGCCCTCATTTTTGACATGGCTTGAGTCTCTGCTTGCCAGTAGCACTACCTGCGGACATAACACCGTCATCAGCCCTCTAGTCCGACTAGGATTCTCGATTGTAGCGTTGAAGACCAATAAATATCAGCATATTCGAAGAGGTCATGCCTATTTTGGCCCATCTTGATACGAGATTAGCGAAACTCGGATTGAGTTCCAGTGAATTTTTCCCAGTTTTGTCATATGTCTCGAAAAACACAAGTCGCCATGATCTCGTTTAAAGTACCTACTATCTGCTATTGAAGGCTATTCCTGAATGTGAATAGTTTGAACGGACGATACCCATCCCATTTGTACGAAGAAAAGCGGAGGGGGCGCGGACCCATTTTTCCGCTACAACTCTCTCCTTGTCCATTTTTTTCTCTGGGAAACTCTGATTGTTCTACTCCTCTCGTCTAGCTCTGACCCTGCTTGAAAAAAGTGAAAAAGCCAATTTTTGAGTTCCCCTTCCATCAAAATACCTGAGGCGCCCTATTAATGGGGGATGTTCGCCAAAATTACAAGCAGAGAGCAATCGCCTCCACTGAATCTTTTCAAATGGTGAATACGCAGATATCTTACTTATTTTCAGAAATCTTTCCCTGAAACTGCACGGGAAGCAGGTCGTTGTCTTCTTAAGATGTTGGTAGTCATTTTTATACCGATTTTTCTTCAAATACGGAAATTTTTCAAAATCGCACTTTGGAACCATTGTGCACTTTCGAGTTGAAATATACTAGTTACTTAGATGGAAGGAGAGACTCAAAAATTGCTTATTCAGTATTTTTAACCAGAATCATATAGAGCTAGACGAGAGAAGTTGAACGGTCCGAGTTTCCCACAGAAAAAAGAACAAGGATCAAGTCGTGGTGGAAAAAGTGGATCCGTGCTCCCTCCGTTTCCCTTCGAACAAATAGGATGGGTATCGTACGTTCAAACTATTCACATTCAGAAATTGCCTTCAATAGTAGATAGTTGGTACTTCAAACGAGATCATGGCGAATTGCGTTACTCGATAAATACGACATTGAACTGGGGGAAAATTCACTGGAACTTAGTTTCAATTCAAGTTTCGCTCAGCTCGAATCAAGGTGGGGTACCAAAATAATCATGATCTCTTCAAATATGCTGATATTTGTTGTTTCCAAAGCTACAGTTTAGAGTCTTAGAGACTAGGGGGTTGACGATGGTGCCATATCCGCAGGTATTGCACACTATTGCCTACATATTGGCAAGCAGACTCAAACTATGAATTTCTCAAAACGAGACCGAAGCTTCGAAGATAATCAGAGGTTCACTAGATCGGTGGATTTGTCTTGACAAGGTCTATCCAATGGTCCTACACTCAAATCACTTGAACCATTTTTGCAGAAGTATGGCAAAAAGACGACGGTAGGTGCGGTTACGTAGCGCACGCAATTAACTTTACCAGTAGACACATAAATTCAATTTTTTAATTTACCGGACAAAATAGTAGTTTCGTGGCATTAGCTGTTCTACTTTAAAGTAAGAAGGGCTTCGTTGGCTCGTTTAGTTCCCATGCGCCTAATCGTAGGTGCGAATCTAGAGTCGTCCGTCGTCCAGGCAATGTTCCATTCCTCTGGGATCGGTAAATCAGAAGTCGACTTGAGAACAAAAGTACCAGCTCACATATCGGTCGCACTCATGGTGTAGGCCAAATCGCCTTCATGTCGCTACTACGATTCCTACTAGAAGCGAAGTGTGCGGCACATCTCAAAAAGGAGTTGATTTGCATCAAAAGCTTCCCTTTTATCCCTACCTGTACGGTTTGTGTAATCAGCTCTGCAAGCTGAGACATGGGAGTTCGCAATTGGTTAAATAACGTCAGTGAGACAAATGCTATTTCTGGAGTCAGAACATTAGAACCATCCAACATGATGAATGTTGCGAAAGTAGATAAAGCGACCTGAAAAGCTATTGATCATAACAATTAAGGCAAACACTACCTAATGAAGCTTAGTAAACGCACTAGGAATGGGGAGGCAGAGTTGAACATATCGGAGAGTGTTCTAAGGAGAGCAGCTCTACGAATAAGAGCGAGCTCTTTCTCACGCAAATCAATGATTACTTGCTCCATAGGAGGTTCCCATGCATATAGTTTTATGACCTAAAACATAACTATGTTCAAACGTAAATCTTCACTACACATACTCCTTACCATGGCCGCGTAACATGAACCTTGGCATTTACTACCGACATGCACTTAGCGTACCGTTGTCGGAAGAACATTTGGCACTATTGCACTATGTATTACAATTGCAGTAGGGGAGAGCGGTTGAAATTTTTTTGCTGAAACTTCTCCTGTGAGGGTTGGTCCTTATCACGAATATGAGATCCATTTTTGACGCTTGCGAAGAAATTGCGCCATTGCCAAACTCACCAAATTCCCTGTAAACTTCCAAATATATAGGGGTTATTTGAGGCCCTGACTACGGATATAGCATCCGTTTTTGGCGCTCGCGCTGATTTCCTGCTTTTCTGAGCTGTCGCGGTTCGCGACGACGGTCGCGCGCCCGGCCTCTGTCGCGCCGTCGGTCGCGCTGGCGGCGCATGCACCGACGAGCGGGTCATGCTCCTCCTCCGGTCACGCCTCCAGCCGAGTCCTATATAAAGGGTCGCTTCTGCCAGTCGGCGCTCTTCGTCTTCTCCGGGAGAAGCAATCGTCGGGCAACGCGAGGAAGGCGAACGGCTAGGGGTGCCTGCTAGCACCCGTCAGCATGTTCGGGCATGCTGTCCCGTTCGCTCGGAGTGCTGGTAAGTTAGTGTCCCGCTACACCAGAGGTACACCATCGGCTATAGGCCGTTGTTACCGCAGTCACCGTAGAAGGCTATGGACGAAAACAAGCGTTGGCTGGGCTCCTCCACGCTCGGCAGGAAGTTGAGCTGTAAGACGCCGAAGGAAGTTATCGCCGAAAAATTACGAGTCCAAACTGTGTAGTGTTGTGTACAAGTATGGCAGCACGGGTAAGCTTGGAGCGCCAGAGCTGGAGCCCTATTAAGGCGCAATGGATCTATGATGTGCTGAATGCGCTGCAAGTGTTATGGGGTTGTTACCGCATGACACGGCCCAGTAACCCCCCCCCTTCCTGAGTTAGGAAACCGTAAGGCCCCGGGGTGGGGAGGTTATGCGCGTGGGAAACCGCATGATTCCCGGGGAGGACCCGTAGAGCGACGTGTGCCTGGGAAAGGCCACGAGGCCCCGAACCACCTCGATGCGTCGTGTTGGAGGGTTAGGAGGGCAACCGCTCCCGAACCACGACATGAGCTCTCTTATTCAGCTCCTAGGCCTAGGAAAAGAGAGTGTTGCGGTGTAGTCGGTAAAACAAGCACCATGTGGCAAAAGTTGAAGTGTGTGAAATCATAGAGTGAGTGGCTTACTCACTTTAAAGCCCTTCACTTCCCAAAGGCTTAGTCCTGATTGCGATCCTTAGTGAGAGGGCGCAGACGAACAGGAAATAGGCACGAAATAATGCCAATGACAAAAACGAATTTCATTCGTCGGATTGCCATATTCGTAATCAGGGCTTCAAATAACTCCTATATACAAGTTTAGAAAGAACTTTGTGAGATCAAGTTATGGCGCCATTCGGCGCCCAAAGGCGCCAGCTTTGCGCCAGCGAAAAGAGGTGGGCCTCATATTCATGATCAGGACCATCGATAATCCCCGCAAAAAATTTTCAGCAAAAAAAATTTTTTGACCCGTTATACCCCTACTGGGGTGCAATGGTACAATAGTGCAGGACATTTATGTATATAAAAAGGCATAAGCACAGCAAAAGAATTTTGTTGACCAACGGTTTGAGATTTACGCGAGTACCTTTTCGGTTACCACTGTTTGGACCCTCATCACAAGCATAAACCAGCAATAAAGATTCAAACACTTTCGTATAGGAACAAGGATATGATAGCTTCTAAGGAATTATTTTGTTGCCAAATTTATTAGTGAATCCAGTGGACATTATAGATAACTCGAAATAATTGGTCTAAGTGACTTCCTGCTCCACTGTTTGTTTTTTGTCTCCAAACATCTGCCCTTCTTCACAGTCAATCTTAACTAAAACGCCCTATCCTTCGTTGTCTAACCTCGAGAGCAAACTGGTTAGCCCACGAAACTACACAGGTGTGCAAAAAGCATAACTTGCTAACAACTTAATGGAAATGGATAGTGGGAGCAAGATTCCAAAGATCCACTAGTCATGCACAACAAACTCGGCCTCATGTGGCCCGCTTTGATCTGGAGTCAAATGGGACTGCCACGCAGTACGAGAAGGTTGGTGGAACAGGAACAAAGGGAGTGTACTAATCGAGAAACTACTAAGGGATATAGAGAATTCATTACAGCCAGTCTCAGATACTACAAAAACGTGAGTTCTCTTGAGAAAGAATCATCGGGAAACGGAAGACTAAGATGTGCTACGAGTAGCTCAGGAATTTGGTTCAGCTCACTGCATTGTTCTTTGTGCATGGAGAGCGATATGAACCACAGCCTTTGCTGCCAGAAGAAGGAAGTTATGGATCAAATCAACTGCGACAGCAGGTGATCGCTACGTCTTGCAACAGGCAAAGACCCACGTCAGTCGTCGGCAGCAGTTGCTAAACACTCATTATGATTGTAGGGCACGTGGTCCCAGCCTGAACAGAGCACGACGACAATATAAAGATGGTCTCTTTGCTCGACGATAAGTAGCCGATCCGTTGGATCCTCCCATCAGCAAGAACATTTGTTAGGTGCCGAGACATTGGGAATGGACCAACAGTTAGGAGGATCGCGAGCTGGTCTCAGTGACAGTAGATCGAGAATGAGTAGTGATCCTGTACTTATCCGCATATGACGAGAAATAGAAACGCAATGCATCCAGGATCCTTGTCTTTCCCCTTTCCTGTCTCCTGTCCTTCCTCTTATTGTTTTGATAGCCGAGGCGATATGGTGTGTGGAGGCATAAAGTTGCCAGTGTTGGCCTCCACACTCCTAACGACGGTACACTTCCCGGTCATCTTTGTGCTGCTATATGTATTCCTTCCTGATGTGGGTCAGGGTACGGAATTGACTTCGTTCGTATAGAGAACAGTGTGCGAGCGCATGTAGCAGCCAAAAAACTCTTAGACCACGAGAATATAGATATTGGTCAAGCTTGCCCTCCTCCCCCACTCAAATTTCATCGAGCACATGTGGGATGCATTCGTGAGAGCTAATGCAGCACACCCACATGAGTCAATAACTGTCCAGCGACTGATAATTACAATTTCAAGGAATGGAACGCTCCCCTATAAGAGCTCCTCACCAGTCTCTGACCAATAGAGCACGCAATGGAATTCTGTAGTACGCAGTGTTCGCACACCCTCCCAGAAAGCATGTCCGGTCTTTGAAAGGATCCCATGGATCGATGTAGCTTCAAACACTTCCAGGAAAATCCCCATTCCCTTTCCTCCCATTACGTGTTTCCACCAGTAATCCTCGATGATGTAGTATAACGTTCTCTCCTTTACATCCTCTAAATTTCATCGAACTAGGTAAATGTATGGTGAAATTTCATGTAAATTATCCTCATTTTTGTCCTTAAGTTTTGCACGCCACTGTACACAGCGGTCATTTTCCGACAACTCTGTGATTACCAGCTACGCTGACGGCTCCCCTGCTGGACAAGGGATTTACATCAGTTATGATCGACCAGGATGGGCAGATTTAACCTCAGCTTTTTCGAGCAGCCAACAAGCTTAAGTGCGTGAATGTGAAGGCCATAGAGGCTTCACGAATGGGGAAATGCCAAACCAGCTCCACTCACGCTTGCTACTCAGGTCCCTGTAATGATCCCAGACCGCTATTTTGGGAAATAAATTGAATTGAAAGCTTGATGTTGGAATCCGTAATTGACACCGACCGTCCAAACCGGCGGCTTCCTACCACGAGCTTCTTCAAAATAACATATCTCATCGCAAGGTCGTACGATTTCCGGACGCGTAAATGCGGATTTCGTAAAGGTGGTGTCAGAATCCACAATTCATCGCACAATTCTCTCAAATTGCGGCACGGACCACGGACTCACCAGCCTGCCGTAACAACGTCCCATAACGACTCCCTACTGAATAGGGTCAACCGTCTGTTCGAACTATTCAAACAAGGGTCGTATTTTGCTCAAGCAGTGGGGCAAGGGTCGCAAACCCGAGCGCCCGCTGCAGAAATTGCGGCAGTATATCACTGGTAGGTGAAAGGGAGAGGGATACGCTGGAAGAGATTATGAGTTTGTGGAAAAAATGATGTAAACGTTTTTCATTTTAAGCTTGACTGCTTTGTGTATCTCCTACGTACTTGAGAAAGCACACATCACCCAATTTGAAAAATTCCTTTCTACCACCGAAACTGACATTCGGAAGGGAGCTACGCTTGTCGAAATCTCCAAAACTAAAAGTGCTTAAAAACCTTGGAGAAAAAACTGCGAATGTGTTAAATTCTCGAAAAGCGAATTTTAAGGAGAGATTGAGCCTCTATCAAAAAGCATAGATCCTGTGCTATCCTACAGCGTTCAGCTCCCCATAAAAGAGAAAAATAAGAAAGTTATTGACATTGAAAGCCCGAAAATTCGCGTTTTCAAAAAGACTGGGCGGCAGCCCCCCCTTCCAAAGTGCGAGCGTGTTTTTTTTCAAGAGATAAAGTTTGAGAAACGGTCAGGTGCTTGTTGGAAAAAGCAAACACTGTGCTTTCTTTTCATACAAAATGTTTACCAAAGACTAAAAAGAAGAATGTTATGGTCAGCAAAAGCCCGAAAACCCGCATTCGCAAGAAAAAAAAGTGCGAACGGAGGAATTTTGGAGAAAGAGAGCGATCACAAGATTCCTGACAACATTGGAAAGATTTTGAAGTTTCGGAATCTTTTTAAAGCTCATAGAAAAGTCGCATTTGAAAGATGTCATGACCATTCAAACATGAAGGTGCATTTTCTTAGAAACTTGGGTTTTCCACTTCGTAACAGAGGCACTTGCTGGCTGGCAAGGTAACCTAGTAGTTTTCTGGGAACGGACGTCATGCACATGCCAAATCTACCCGAATAATTAGGAAATTTGATTCAAGAATGTTGTCTC